CGATTTTTCTACTTCAAAAACGAAGATGGCAGGAATTTAAATGAAAGGGAAAACGATCATTAAAAGAGCACGCAATGCAATCTCTGGTAATTCAGAGATTCTTATGCAAAAATTGCCACATGTTTTCGAAATCAGATTATCTGTAGTTCATAAGTATGCTAATGTAGGCCATAATAGTTATTAACCTTTTGCCGACCTTTGGCGCTTTCTTGCGTCTTTTGGCCTATTTTATCAACTGTGGTATGTCCTTGGCACGCTGTCAACACACAATAATAAGTCTGATGCATTTTAAGCTTTGCGGCTTGTTTGAACGAAACCTCAGTTATTCAAAGCGTGGCCCCCTTTTCTACCTCAACGGTCAGGTAACCAAACTTCCAAGTGTCAGATGGCTTTCAACGTTCTTAACCAAACTCGATTCAAAATCGATCAAATCGAAAGTACTCAAAGTACTTTCGAGTAAGATGCCCAAACTCACTGGGGCTTCAAGTTCCCGATGTTGATGGCCAAATTCGTTGGGGCTTTTAAGTAGAAAATGACTCTCTTCTTTACCACACCCATTGGAGCTTTCAAGTACTAATATCGCTTCACTCATAGTTACGATTAAACTATTCGATTAAAATATTACGATTAATATTCGAAAAGTTACTTTTGAACAGGCTGGTCAGTGCTTCATTTAACGGTTGGGGGCTCGAATTGAAGATAAAAAAAAATAGCTTTTTTTTTTTATATCAGAATTTTAAACAAGCCGTATAAGAATTATATTCCACCGAGTATTTTAGGTAGCCTACTCCTCGTAAAGGTATTGAGCCGAATGCTAGATACTACGGCTTTGTTATATATAAATATATATTTTTACCCTTCTATGAGCCATTAGAGATCTAATCTAAATTTATACAAAGCATAGCTAAATTGACTAAGCACGTTGGAGAAAATTTAATCTAAAATATGCTTTATGCGACGCTAACGTGGTCCCAAATAATCCCGATTACCATATTGTAATCATGCAAACATTATAATATGAATTAATGAATAAATACGTCTACGATTACGTAAGTTGCTGCTAGTTGACGAGAAAATTAACGTAGTTCATTCTACTTTGGTTACTTACCAATTCATATGATCGTAATCCCCCTCATAGTTTTATTCTCCACGAAGGTATCCCCTCTCGAATAAGTTCAAGGGCATCATGGCCAGCTCTGCCAAAAGCAGCTTAGGCTTTAGTGTTTCAAATTCGCCAGAGGAGCTACCGAGATGCTAACGTACGCGGGCTGATGACGTGCCCATTTCCGGATCGGAAAATAGAGCACGTGAGTGCTTACGCAACTGAGGCATATATCGACTTGTGGAAAAAGTATGCTCCTTCCTACTCCGTCGGCTTATGATCTGCGAATTTGCCGCTGCAAGAAGGTGGAAGTTGACTCTATTGGACAGGGCGGTTAGCCGCAGTGGCAATGAGTACTGCCATGATAGTAGGATGTGGCTTGTCTGTGTGTACCTGTTGTCGTAAGATCTTAAAAAACGCCCCCGATGGCGTCGGGCGCCGGAAGGAGTCTAACCAGTTATTCGGCACTAGAAAGAACGGAATGCCACGTCCACTTTATGCTGGAGATTATGAAAGGGTCTGGATAGCGTGAACTAAGGGCAAATCCACTAGACGCTAGTGAAGGCCGGCCGCGGTGTACGGACATCCTGCCGGATCAGCGTGGCCGCGTTGCATTATATTATGAATGGATGTACTAAACGAAAAGGGAAAATTTTAACAGTGCCCGTACATCAATCGATCTTGGTAATTGTAATTTGTTAAAGTATCGCTCAAATACGCTACATAGAAAAAATTCAAGTGGAATTACATCTTAAGCTGATAGCAGGCCAAGAGCCTTAAAAATTTAAAAGTTCACGACGGCAGAAAGTTTGAAAATATGCAAAAAGACGCAGGAAGTTGAAAACATATTAACCATTTGAAGCTTATTTGGACGGTCCGTTCAGCAATTAATATTTTCCTCTCTAATACGGCCATTAATTTATTTTCAAAAACCCACAAAAATTTGACATTGTTCTTTGATCCGGAAATACTTCTCGGATTTTTTCAAAGCCATAGGAAAACTGGCAATAATAGAGTTTTTGGTTTTGGTAGAATTTCGTCCAGCGCGAAAGATAGTAGCTGATATTAGCTAAAGTTCTGTGAACGATCGTTGCTGCTTGCCGTAACGATTTCGTTATTTTTCTCTAAAAGAACAAAAGTTCTTCTGGTGCCAGAAGTAGGGATAAACGCCTGCCCGTCAAAGCTTTTCCCAATATAAGGCCACAACACTGGACGTGTTGTCCTGGTGGGAATTAAAAATAATTCATACGGTCCAGTAACTTGTTTCAAACTATCAATAAACCTGTACCTATTTTTCAAAGATACATATATATATATATATATATATATACCGCTGGTCCGAAATATCGGTTAGAATTTTATACCGAAACTAGTACCTGTTTTTTTTATTGTTTGCATACTGACCGCATATATAAATATATAGATTAAAAAAAAAAGTATTACGCATTTTATTTGTATTATAGCTCTTTTTATGGAATGAACAGTCAGAAGAAAAGGTCATAGCTAATAACGGAATACCAAATACGTATCTTAAAAACCAACGACGTCTAGCCAAAGCAGCATTATGAGGAAAAGTTCCGTGGGTGGGAAACTCTGCTCGCTCAGGTCGAATGTTATCTGCCCCCCAGGTAACTGTTTTTTCTAGCTGACTTCCACTATCATCGGTTCCAGATATCGTAATACTCTGGTCTCCGTCCAGGTCATTCATCTATGACGTTATCATGTTCTGCCTCGACATTTGGCGTACACCACTCCGTCGTAGAGTAATTCGTGTCCGTGTTTGAGACAGTGCTGCCATTATCTATGGACCAAGCCGGCTCAACTGCTACCCGGCGCTTACCAAAAATATCGCTAGATATTAGAGATAAGCTTAAGCGTCCTTCAGCGTCCTTTCAGCGTGAGGTAACTTTCTCACGATTTAATAAAAGTTTAGCTGATGATAAAAGTTTGGCTGAATTTGCATACTCTTGCTTTAGACTTGAATGTCTGGTGGATAAAACGTATCCTAAGCGCATTATATCTGATTGATATTATTGTCCGCTTTCTACCGCTGACATTAGGTTTCTATAGTTCTTTCTTAGCGAAAATACAACGATGGATATAAGCAGATATGGCTTAAAGCTAGCTCGTACGTGTTTAAAATCGATTCTAGAAGATCGATGATGTTAGCCGTACTGATTTGTCTTTTATCCGGTTGGCCTATAAAGTTCCCTACGTTTCATTTTACGTAAAAACTATTATTCACAGTTGCCTTCCGTCACATTATCGCCGCTCTTATTTGAGGGTATTTCATAACAGATAACGCAGAGTCGCAATTTGAAATCATACTTCAAAAGAATTTCTCCAAAGTTAATCAGAATTTGATTGATAAGTGATACCCGCTGCGTGCTCGACTTCAGTGATGTATCCTTTAGGGATTATATACAGGTGTCTTGAGCTACCATTCGTAAATAGGTATTTAGAGAAAAAAGAAATTATATAGGAATTCGATAGCAGCTAGTTGTGGCTAAAACAGCGGTTGTTACGTACGCCATCTATCGTTGCACGAGGGGCAATTTTTATCTAAAGCAGATGGGAATTAATTTTCCTGTACGTACATTTCCCATCTTTGTGCTAACACTTTCTTTATGGTAATACAGCTAGACGCATCGGAGTCAAGATACGCAAAGATCCTAATGCCTATAAAGTTCAGCTCTACGCATGGGGCCTCCATTGCGCTATGACCAACTGGGACAAATGCTAAATTAGCTACAAAAGCTAGAACAAAAAGCTTCCTGCTAGTGCAATGCAATGGCACACGAACTTGGACATAAAAAAAAAAACACTATATCGCATTTTATAGTGACCTACTTTACAAGCATAGAATGAGGGCCAGTCACTATGCTAATATTAAAACCATTCTGTTAGAGCTCAAAATAACAGCGAAGGTACCTGAACCAGTCTCCTTCACCTACGAAAAGAATACAGGAAGGGGCTACGTTTCTCCTTGAACTAAATATGATGCACACATGGAATCGGGTAACTTACAATGCCATAGATAACAAGTTACAGTAAGCGTGATGAACTTGTGTCGTTTCGCTTTACGGCTCTCAATTTAACGATAAACGTAACTTCGATCTGCTTTGCGTTGGGGTCACGTCATTCTCTCTGACGCAACAGTGGCATAAGCTGCAATTAGAATGATGATAGCACTCTGCTGTGTCAGGAAGTATTGCTCTTCGATGTACAGGTATGTTTTAAATGTTGCAGTACGATATTGATAAAAAAAAAAAAAAGAACGTAATACGGTAGCAGTAATGCAATTTTCGAAGGACCAACAATGGAAAATACGTACCACTATTGTCAAATTCCTGTGTTAGGACAAATATTTCGAAAACTGTTCCTATGAAGCAAGCGCCAAGATTTAGGAGAACGGGTCTTGTAATTAGCCGCTCGAGACCGTATGCAGATCAATGCGTCGTAGATACATTTTTCTCACAAAGAAGTGCACGGCTAACTTAGCGTAGAAAAGGCTTCTATAAAAGATCTAAGTAGGTTTAGGCCTGAATTGCATGCGAGAGTAGCTAGGTCGTGGATACCTTATCCAGAGACGTACGATTTCTACGGTAAGCCAAGCTGTACGATCATCATACGTGAGCTAGTTCAAGCTAGACCTTATTTAGGGTAGAGATTGATTGGAGTCAATAGGATACAATTTCCCCAGTGACTATAGGATTGCACAACTGCGGTTGTTTAAAGGGAATAGTTAAAAGTTATTACGAATTTAACATGACGTAAATGCTTCTCTTAGCGCTTGTGATATTATTAGCTGGCCGTAAAATGTGCCTATGATTAAGACGTATCAGAGAAAACCTATTCTCGACATAAACGTTCATACAACGATATGAAATATGCTATTTCAAAAATACTCTTGATGCTTTTATTAATTGCCCTGTACTTTGTATATATAGTTGAAATTATCTTGAAAACTATAAAACAAAGCTAGTGAATGTTGAATAGAGACAAAATGGTTTTTACTTTGTGTAGCAGCCATCTTGTGTTGTATAACCGACAATAATCAGCATAACATTAGCAACCTGACATTCTTCTATTTGTCTATGCCTAAAATGAACATGTTAAAATTGAGCAAGTAACGTAAACAAAGACTAATTCTGATTATAGGTGGTGATTTTTCTCAGGGGTTGCCTTTGTACAGGTCAGAGGATATGGAGTGTCGCACAAAACAGTTGCATCCTGAGGGAATTTTCACGACGATCTCGTACGGCTCCAGTGACGACGTGTTGATTGCCGTTAGCCCCCTTTTGAAAAAATGGGTTCTACATATACTACGCTGGTTCGGAAGCGAGTACGGGACGAGGGCTGGGCATGCTGCGCCGGTGTCCCTGAAATCGAACAAAAGTACGTTATGTAAAACAGTTGTCTGCAAAAGAGTGTGACGTTTGTGGCGCGAAAATTCAAGCGGAAATTTGCCGATTGGTTAAACTAGCTACCTATTATCACACAAGACAAATGAGGATTTGATAGCGGATATTAATGTGGGTACTTCGCTCGATCACACGATATAAATAGATTCCGCGGCGCTAGCTTTAGCCAAGTTCCTTCAACTAATTAGATAGACGCGATTTCTCCTAAACGGGTAAAATACCCAAAATTCAGAAGATTTTTTCAGTTAAACATTTAGGGGAATCATAGTTGAACTGAAAGGCAGAAGGCTGCTAGTTTATACGAGGCAATAATATGTGGAAAGGCCGGCCGCCCAAAGCTCTAATAAATTTTAAGTCTGTACCGGACGTAAAGCTCGAAAGATTTTTAGTGGGACATAAGATATCGAACTCTCCAAGCACCGTTGTAAACCAAGGGATGTGTTGAAGTTCGGGGAAGTGTATAAGGTTCTCTTGAAGAGGCCCTAGGCTTCATTTACAATACATAGTCTTTAGTAATGGCGATTGATAATATTCGAAAATCGCTTATTTGAGTTGGATACATTACTTAATGGCAAGTAACGTCTGCACGGAAAAATTGCTTGTTAAACCTAAAGGTCCTTAGGTGATTCAGCTTCGGTAGATAAATAGAAGATCCTAATCTTCTCACCACTATGTGCATCGTTACCTGTATCCATCAAATAGGTCCGCTTCTAATAATGTCTGATCGATGCTGCGGTAGCCATGTGTTTGTTAATTTCGTGAAGTGACACAGAGATGGAATGGGCATATATTTGAACCTGGACGTAAACACGCTTGGATCGTACAACATTATTGAGAGTAACGATAGGAAGACGATTCGTATGTGCACTAATGTCTTCTTTCGTTCGCAAATAGCTAGAACCCTGTGTCCTAACAGGCTCTTAATGCAATAATAGGTCAAGCTACTATTATTCAGGTCTGTAATAGGCGGGAAGCTGAAGATCGTATATGAACGAATTCTTTTTCAAAGAACAGATGAGCATAAGCACCGCGCTCTGCAGATAAATAAAATTTTAAGACATTGTTACGAAAACCATGAGAGTTTACTAAATTACTGCTTTCTGAATATCCCGAAAGTGGCATGCTTAATTATTGGCATTTTTCTAGGAACGCAGACTCGCCTAACTAATAGGTTTAGGTATTAAAAACACTCACCTGCAGTGCTCAGTCTCCACAAGCTGTTGATAGTCGCCGCTGTCTGGATTCAGTAAAAAGTGTTTCACTCCATACACGTCCTTTGCGGCTTTTGGCATATAGTCCCTTTTGAGTGAGTCACATAACTGGAAGACAAACAAACGCATCTTATATCTATCTATATATACGGACGTGTCTGGTTTAATAAATATAGTTTACAAAAGAGAAAAAAACTATGAAATGTTACGAATAAACAAATGTTTATTCGAGATGGTACCACGTGACGCACAATTAAACCGGTATTATTTATCTATATCGAGGTATTTTGAAAAGTACAAGCTGCAATGCATTCAGGTGCGCCTTTTTAAAAACTTTAAAGTCCTCAAACCAGGGCGGCATCTTTAGCTGAATTTATTATTATTATGCCAGCGTTTTCGGTTGAAGTGTCCCGCTTCATTGACTAGCAGGAACTTGACACTGTTTAAGCGCATTTTGTGATGAGTTGTTTTTGATGCATCTGCAAGCTAACGTCTAAGCTTTTTCAGAAATCTAAAATGCTTAATGAGTCCAAGTTAATATGAAGCGCTATTATGATATGTTACTCACTGGAATATAGTGGTCTTCGTCGCGTAGAACTGCGGTGACCCCAGGGGTGTAGGTAGCAAGTTCTGGTTTTCGCTTTTGATAAAACGTCTTGAGAAAAGGCATATTTTTCATAAGGACATCTATTTGCACCTCACTTCCATGAAAGGGAACAGCAATACAGGGAAGTAGACCATTGCTTAGAAATTGCAGGAAATCATTATACGTTCATACGAATTCCCTCATGTGCTATTTGCTGAACCGCAATGCTATATTCAATACGGTAGTTGAACACTACCTTTTGGTGGAATCCGACTAAAGCCTTATTGAGGCCCAAACAAATTCAAAAAGCCAATGATGCAAAGTTGACACATTGGCAAAGCTTGGTAAGCCCACTTGTAAGTAATAACTAACTTTAATAGCCTGCACTTGACTGGTGCGTCAAAAGTGTATCTTGTCAAAGCAGTATGTATTCAATATTAATCGTTTGAACTCTGTATGTTTGCGAAGCTTCATCTAAAAACAATTGTTGTAATTCTACTGTGGCCACGATCCCAGTCGCAACGTGTGGCAAGAACCATGTTGATGTTTCCCTTATATCGTGCTTGCCCCCATCATGCACTCTCACCAGCCTTGTAGCTCAAAAGTGAGCTCTATAAGTATTCTTGATACCTTCTTCTCTCTTATTTTAGCTAGGATTTAACGCTGCATTTTCCGTTTCCAAAGCTACAGCGTTTTAACAAAAAGCTTTGCTAATCTACGCAAATAGCTAGAGAGGAAACGCAAAGTCGACACGTAGCTATGCAGCCAACAGTTACTATATCAAATGAGTTACTGCGGCTAACCTAGAAATGAGGTGACTACAGGTATCGTGTGAAGAAAAAGCGTAAGTTTTCATAACAAAGAATGTGGGCACTTACTCGGGCAACGGGTGCTTCTCATCGGCGCAAAATGGGTCACATCCGTCGATGTCTATCGAAGGCTTCTGGAATTGATCCACTGAACAAGAACGACAATTTTTATTCTTTTTTTTTTTTTTTTATCTTTCGAAGTATGTATTAGTATGACTACAAAGCAATTATCAAAATCATCTTTGCCAACTGCCAACATCAGTGAGCATAAATCTGAGCTGTAAATAGACATTACTATCTACTTTTGCTATTGTAATACGTAAAAAAAACCTCTGCCTCTGTGCCACATTATCGGAGAAAAACAGCTCTTAATTTAATTTCAAGTTTCAGGGTTACTGTTCTTACGGTGACTTTGAACAGAGCCAAAGGGCTTCGGGAGATAGATAAGACAAAATTAATAACCGCAAAAATGATACCTTTGTTTCTGTGGCAAGCATGCTACGCTAAACTGGATAGTTTAAGATTTCTGAACACTACAAAGACAGCCAAAAAGTAAACAGATCAATTGTTAGATATTACATGCTAATATCCACCCTGGTACCAGTGTCGTATGCCGCGTGAAGAATCGTACGCAATTGTCGTATAGGGGAAATATCTGCTTGTATACCGTACCATAAACAAGATTATCTTCCATAGTTGAATTGCCGATTGCCATATTTATGCCAGAGTCTACCGATGTCACATTGCGCTCACCGTTGGTCGGTGTCCGCGATACCACTGAAAGTATCGCTGTCAAGAACTGAAATGAACCCAGAATGAAAAAGGCAAGGTTTAGTGTACTACATTGTAGTATTGTAGAAGAAGAAAAATGACTTTTCTTCACTCTTGCCAGATAACTGCGTATATATTTTTTAAAAGAGAGACCACGCACTTATTTTTAGAAAAGAGTATATATATATAGTAACTTATTCGTTTTTCCGCTTATTTAGTTTTCAAAAGTTTCCTATAATATGTCTCTTTAGTTAATTTAGCCTTGGAGAGATACTTGAATAGATTGGAAAAAAACATGAAAATATGAGAATCTCTAAGGCCAACGATTTTTTTAGAATAATTACTTAAATCTTTTTAGTTATACATATTATATAATGAACGAATGAATGATTTTATAATTCTTCGATTCTATGATTCTTGGATAAAATCAGTCGTTCGTGATAGCATAAAGAGTAACGTATTTGCGTACTAATCCTAGGAACGGATTATGGTTTAGGTTCGGGTGTGGACATAGAGGCATTTCGTTTCGTGCTGGGGGCCAGTCGGCGACACAGGACGTAAAACTCGAAATAGAAAGGCTGACTAGGAGCAGTCCCTCTTGAAAAATGTCTCACCTACTCGCGTACGTTTAGAACTCACTTTTCCTAGGCAAATGATTCCGTGTATTTTGCACGTTTGACGCTTCGCATTTCGAAGTGAGAAAAATACATGAGAGCAGCTTGGGCCGAAACAACTTTTTATGGAAGGGATTTAAAGGTAGAATAAGAATTTTTTGGTATAAAAAGAAATACCATTTAATATAAAAAGATATACTGTTTTATATTTTGTTAAGAAATAAACTTTAGAAGTAGTGAAAGTGTTTAGCGGACTATACTGAAAAATTTCAAACGAATTACTCTCTCAAATATTTGTGACCAACTTCCGTTAGAGGATTTAACACGCAAGGTTCATGCTTAGAAGATGCATGCGGCAGGTATCAGGATTTGCATTATGAATTCCCATTCTTTGTAATGTGACAGACCTGCTGTAGGAAACTAGTAAATAATACATTTTATTTCATAGATAAAATTTGTTGCGAATATGTACCGCATATGTGCGCATACGCTTCTATACCATGTATATGTGGTTGATAAAACATGAACATCAATATAATAGTACAGACATAGAGTTACTACTGCGGTTCGCCATTAAAATCAAACTTAAGGAAGCAGCTTCTATAACAATTAAAGCAACTCGATTACCTTTCTTAAGTTTTCAAAGAGGTTCATTTTCAGTTTGCAGATTTCGATGGTCAATCGACGTAGGTCATACAACCGACGATGGTATTGTGTAGCAACAGAAGCTTAGCGCGACGTTTATTCCTCACTTCGAGGCAACCGTACACATTCACACACACATATCCGTGCTCATATATGGAACGATGTTTCGTTGAAACAAAAGACAAGGCAGAAACATAGAAAACAGCAGATCATGTTCAACAACATACAGTTCCCGTCGCGAGGCACAACAGGCGGCGGGTCCGCGTCAGGTTGTTGAGAACGGACGAAGGAAAACGTCCTGCGTTCGTTCAACGGCATACAGTAGCCCTGTCCATCGTGGTGATGATGCGCGCGCCACCAAACGAGAACCGACATCAGTCGCTTGGATACAGTTGTTTCATCATCTGTGTTCAAAAGTGGTCCATAACAGTAGAAGGCATGGAGAGGACGAAAGCGATGCAGCAGTATTACAGAGAGTTGCCGTCTGTTTGCTCGCGTAACCAGCGGCAAATAACGGTGAAACCGACGATAAGCTACAGTCCACTTCCGGCATTGCCCGAGCGACACCTGGCGGAATTTTAACGAAGCATATGACATAACGATAATACGGGTCTTGGCGGGACGGTCGATTAGAGGGAGGGTAGCGTTGTGTAGCAGGCATGCGGTGATTGCGCAGTTAGTGACGATACGTCTCAGTAACAACCGTTAGAAATGAAGTTATGATTTCAAAATTCACCGAAAGATTCTGTACGGTGCCGTCTGGTTAGCGGAGCCGGTCAAACAACAACAATTGTTGCTAGCTGAGACAACGGTTCGGTAAAGGTTTGCCCGTCTTGCAATGTCTAATCGATCGACTGATCTTGCTCATCCGATCGAAGGCAAAGCGATCTGCTTGAGCAATCGGCTGTAATATTTCCAATTCAATCAGATGAAAAAGATCGACAGGCCGCGACATCCACAAACAGCTACACGCGACGTTGTTTCAGTTTTTGAATTTCCACTGACAAAGCGTACGCAGAGGCCATTTAGCCTATGAATGTATAGCGCTTACCCTGTGTCACGTCACGCGATAAGGCTGGTATCGGACGTCTGGCGATGATCGTGATGAGGAGTAAATGGTATAAAAATGCGGCGTGAAGTAAAGGAACTATATTACACTCTAATAACAACAATAAGAGTAATGACATTAGATTGTCATCAATGCTTATATCTCAATGTATTAAACCGTATGCCTCATCTTCAGAGGTGACAACACGTTGGACATTCCAGCCAAAGAGTGGGGATTATTTCATCCTAGCACTAACTTATTTTTGTCAATGCCTCTCGTAGGTAATGGTACCTATGTTCCCAATAGCATATGATACTGACATAACCTAACCCCGCGATCACAGTGGGTTCCAGAGCCTATAGTACAATACTTTTATTTTTCCCATTTTCATTTTAATTGAACTCATCACACGAGCTAATATTATTAGAACCATGTATGGTGCGAAATAGACCCACTAATTGAAAACCACAACTGAAGACCTAAAAAAGATTTGGTGCACACGGTTTGTCGGAGGAAACCGGTCACATGACCAATGACACATTACCAATAAGTGCCGATAGTCAATTGGGCCAACTACTTTTTATCGTAAGCTGAGTCAAAAGTTTGATGAGACGGCCAGCTCTAAACTGCGGTGACTAAACTGAACAAACGGTCGCTAAGTTGTGCTTTTCAAAGGGTATTTGATTAATGGAACCTTTACCTTTCCAATCTGATGAACAGATAGGGCTAATTGGAAGAAGCCCTTTATAGGCAATCAACTAATTCACCACCTTTCAGGAAATTTACGTTGCTGTCAAGAGGTCGTACTTGAGACGTTGAGGTACTTCTAAAGCTACTACAAACTATGCTATTGCCAGCCAACCATTCATTGTCGTTGCAGCTTGAAAAGCTGGGCTGTAAAAAAAAATAGCGTCAGATATTCTAAATTGTGTTAATGAATTAACAAGTGCAGTACCACCCGTCGCGCATATGGAGCCTTGCGATGCGACTATATAAGTATGGTAATTGAATCTAACAGTAATAGTCTATCTGAAAGATCGTTTAGAATTTGCATCCAGGTAATATGGTTGGCGTGATGCTGGCCTAAAACACTCACTGCGAATGATGGACCCGACGTTACTCTTGTTTTTAACCCTCTGCTTGAGTCCAAACCAGAAAACCCTCTAAAAAGTTATCGCCCCCTAGTGTGACCACGACGAATATATCTCGAAACTTAGAACTGCGTAACTAATTTCACCGATTTGGTGTCATTAGATGAACGAGTCTTCTGCTTTATTGGAACTGCATGTCCTAAAACCCTGCGCACCCTCGGCTAAACCCCCCAGCGACATTGGCCTACGAAAGGCCCTAACAAAGTAATAGGGAAGGACTAACTGTTGATGCTTATTTGGTCGTTTTATGTATAAACGTTAAATTTGGTAATTGTTTCGAACATATGAAATATCCGTCCTATGTATGCATTAGAGCGTTTAGAATTTCTCAGGAGTCTTCAATGTTTAGATCCGTGTTTATTAATGTTTGTACATTTTTTATTTTCGATCCATAACTTTAAATATAGAGTTCAAAATATTTTAGGTTATTTGCAAGAACGTCATTGACGCAGAACGATTGGTTCAATATTTTGCCTCAGAAGATATTAATGGTCGTCGCCCGTGAGGGCTAACGGTTAGAAAAAAATGCAAGTTCACATTTGCCTATTGTGTCTACGGCGTACTTGCTTAGAAATCTAAAGCAAAAATCACTTGCAGATACCTTTATACATGCACATATCGATACTATAGGAAAATCACTATATATGTTATAGGGATCATTTGCTAGCTTAGAGTATTATTTGATAATTGATATGAAGCTATCGAGCTTCTTATAGCTTGGCCACTGTGGTAACGAAAATACTCGACATAGACATGGAGAGTGCTAAATTTACGTAGGTCTCTAGCATTGTCTGATTTCAGTGTCCCATACAAAATACATGCTTCGCTATCTACCAATCCATAAACGCTAGTTTATACATTTCCATGAAGATCTCTGTATCCGTGGTCGACGTCTATGCGCAACAAGTTAGTACGATTTACTTAACGTTAAACAGTTTCTTTATTATATGACATATTTCCATATATAATCGAGATCAATAAAAGGTGTTCATGATCTTTATCATAAAGGACTGTTGTCAATTGCGGCGTTTCTTCGAAAAAATTTCGATTTTCGAACTTATTCAAAAAAGCTGTAGAATTATTTAGAATGACAATGAGCATAATTTCATAAGAGTAATAATCTGCCCAATAACCACGTTTTACTGCACCATGACTAGAGAATAAATAAAAAAAAAACTGGGATAGATTAGCATTGGCGATCCGCATTCAGGGGCAACAGTGTATTTAGTGCAAAATGGTGCTTTCAATAGGAACCTGTCTGGGCCACTGTATGCCTTTGAGGCCCACTACTTTAATTATACATAATTAAGAAGTATAGCTGACTATGTACATAATTACCCAGTGACTCCTGCTAGCAGTAATGGTATAAATAGATAAGTAGGATTGTCGTCGCTAGATGTAGCAGACTTGCTCAACAGGCGAGAAGAGGTGCATAATAGATTTGCAGCAAGATGACTGCATATCTCATAGATTTTCAAATATAAATAACATAAATTAACCGAATTTAAAAAAAAATTAACAGATGCCCGACACTAAAAGATCGCATGGAAACATTTACAATTGGGCCCGCCTTATCAGCTTGTCGGTGCTCAAACTCATACAGGAAGCTATGATAATCGACAAGCACCGCTTGTATATTAACTGCATTTGTAAAAAGCGCAGCTTCTATTAGACTTCACTCAATTCTTGGTAAATATGTCCGTATCGCTTCCGGAAGAGAAATCAATGTGTCTACGTATGAACTGACATCCGTTGAAGTTCATGACGCAAATGATGTCTGTCGAGTTGTTTGTCTGCCGATAACTCACCATGAGTAGGCAGAGCAGTAGATTCAGGTTGAACTTTAAAAACTAGTTCAAGCTTAGAACAAGCACGCGTTTACTTTCCATCAGCGAGGAGCATGATCTTAACAAGGAAAAGTTACAGCTGTGAACTACTAGTTGGCTTCCGTGGATACGCTCCTGGATACCCTGATTACGATTTTGAACCATGGGCTGGGGAAGAGATAGCGTGGAAGTGCCCTCGATGCTGCGAGGGTATCTTGCTATTATACCCGTCATACCGACTGAGTCACACATAGCCGCGTCGACCCATTATGCGCTTACCAATACTCATCGCCAGGATGGCGGGTTGAATTTTTCCAATGTGGATCAGTTCATCCGAGAATCGTTTTCTAACATGACACCCCCTTGTTGCACGTCGGGATTAAATAAGCGAGGCTTTACCTTACAATGAAGGTCGGCAATCGTGTTTGCCGCTGCGTATTCCAACCGGACATATGCCCAGGTCATAAGCCTGGCTGCCTAAAACCGACAGCTACATCCATACTTTTAAACTGTTCAAATGTCTTATTTTTGTATTCGAAAGCTTTATTTATTTAGAGAAAACGAAAAGTGACACATGTTTTTTTACAGAAGCATTTCACTTGTCTTCGTTCGTTCCTGAACCTGGCAAATCCTAATGATAATAATAAATAACGCATCACGAGCTATAGCACTGCTATCATCCGGCGCGTGCAAGGCGGCCATTTGTGCGACAAGCGAAAGCGCTGTAAAGTGTAACCGCGACATTCGACATAATAGGCAAAAAATGTGCCTCTGTTTGAAAAAAACAATTGTCCATTGCTAGAGATGCAGATTAAAACACGATCATATAGAAAGTTCGGACACGCATACAGTGAAAACATTAGAATATAGATAAAGTTAAAATTTACTGACCTAGAGGGAGACAGTAGCACAGAAAGAAAAACATCTGAAAGAAATTTTTAATTTAGATAGCAAGTGCACGCTTCAGAAAACACAATCCGAAACGGCACCAACGCATGTGTCGGACGACAATTGTCCCGCTTGGCCTATCAATACAAATGGGCAGTCGAGCCGCCAATGACTATAATACGCTTGAAATTTTTTCCCCTAAAATTTTCACGCTACCTTTGTTCCTGAAACTAATAAAAAGTGAGAGATTACAATGACAACTACATACATCCACGAGTTTAAAGCTGAGGTGAAATGAAAAAAATCATCCCAGCATCATCTTAATTTCGTAATTTTGCCATCTTAATGTTAGCGGTGGGTGCTTAATTGATGCCATAAGCACATTCAGAGGGTAATAACAAAACACCGGAGGTGTGAATTCAACAACGGTTACATAATAATAGTGCGTTCGTAGAAGGTAGTTCTTCTGAAGTTTCGTCGGCTTCAGAAACGCGAAGCTGTCGTCACTCTGCTATCGTTAGATATCATAAAAGCATGTTCTGATTGAGTTGTTTATTTTTCGTCGCTATAAATTTTCTATCACATTCGACTACTTCGCATGTAAAGCCTTAGGCAATTTCGAAGTCGGACCAGTATTAAGTCCACTAAGCTAATAATAGGCAAGTATGCAACCATTATATTAAATGACATGATTGCCTATCATTACAAGACATCAGTTGAGATGAGGTTTCTACCCCAATACTTCTTCCCCTTTCTTTAATTTATGACATTACATGTTTACGAGCACTTCATTCGAGAACTTTTTGGAATTTATAGCTAAATATCAATCGAAATATTATATATGTAGTAAATGATAGCTCAGTATAAGGCAACTCAACGAGTCGGTGAAGATCCTTGATATGATGAATGACATGAAGAAATTCGGAAGTCCATTGTGAAGGAACTCCTAGAAAACGTTACCCTGAAAAGTAGTTCCCCTTTTACAACAGTTACTTTAGTTAAGACAACATTATAACTTTTTATAATCTGTGTACTTTGCTTAACCCACGACGAAACGACAATTTCCGCGTACGGCGACGTTTGTTTATCTAGGTAAAACGAGGGGAAAAACATTATGAAAGTGCGCGGGTGTGTGTGAAGTTGATCAAAGTTTTGTCGTTTAGTTCGTTATGGTCGTATGTTGTGTCGTAGTAATGGCGGTATGGTGCTTTGGACTCCTCAATCAAGCAGTAAGCGAATATATCGGAAATATCAAATAGAAGGCAAGCGAAGGTAACGATTTATTGCTTTGCATGCTGTGCACAGCTAGTATTCCCGTATGTGAGTCGCATACAGCCTATTGTACTTGTTTTATGATTTCTTCGTCGTGTTTTGCCCTTTATTGTGGGGCAAAACTGTGCCGCCAGGGAAATGTGTAGGATAGCACCGGGGCTGCTGTGTGTCTAAATATCAATTTGCTGTGAGTGTTTTTTTCTGCCACAGCTACGACAACCGCTCGATGCCACATATATATCTGCCAAGGTAAACAAACTAGTGCACGATTTCGGGGAAAAGTGTCGTCCGTTAGTTTGTGTCTGTATGGAATAAGAACATGCTACGCAGGGGCGGGGGGCCGTCTTGTTGTCTCCGCCACTGGCAGACGGTTCGGTTTTATGATTCACTAAGGAACAGTTTCCCACGTTAGTTAGTGATATTTATGAGGCGCATGGCACTCATGTATGTATTCTATAAGAAGGGTGAACGGCTTGTTCATCTCGTTCATTCTCATTATCTGAATCATCATCGCATGATCCATGGCCGCCACCGCCGGACGCCACAACCGCCGATCCTAAGATGAATCCGGAAAGCGAGAGGCCGACCCTGACGAGCTTGGTGCGCTGTAGAGAAGTCAACTAACCATCTCGCGTGTACTCCTACATCCAGCGTGTTTTCTTGTTTGCCTAGAACAAGCGTTCTGTTTATCTGTATGATAACGTTACTCATTTTATCTGTCGTTATTGAGACCTATGGTGAGATCCTGAGAGCTTGCCATCACGTCGATATTTAGTGTCGCGTTTAGGAGTTTTAGAATTGATAGGAGACGCTCTTAGGCATGGTAAGCAGGATACGGCATTACAAAAACGGAAGCATTCGTGTATCGTAAAACACAGTTCGGGTAACGTGAACTGTGTAAGTTACAACTTCCAGGGACGCTTACATAGGATTCTTCACTATTCCAACAGGCGTCAGTGTTTTCGTGTTTGACTTCACGTTTTTTCCTCCATAGGTCCTTTTGTCAATCGCGTGCTCATTCACACGATTAATATTATAAGACTTTTAGCTGTTGGTGCTTCGATAGAGCATTATGCAAAATTGAGATATAGTCCTTCGTTCAAAATGAACGACATAGTCTCTCCGATCATCTAAGGGAATCTAGGACTAAATAGAGTTACTGATATCAATTTGGCCAAAATTAAGGCCAGAAAATGAATAGTTATAATATTGAGTGAATGAATATCATAACTGTACATATCTTATTATGGCTTACTAAGTCGTATTGCTAAGGTTAACAATGTAATACATACAACTGACAAACGCAAAACGGCAAAGAAAGACAAACAAAATTGTCCAATATTATAAACTGTTATGCCTTTTTTTTTTTTTTATTTAGACACATGTTTGGCCGCAATCTCTGTGAGAAGCATCGTATTTGTACTGAAAGACTCCCAGGTTTGCGTGTGTGTCTGAGTCATCCGATAATATGCTACAATAAAATATCCATATTCATAATTAACATTTAATTCAATCTGAAAAGTAGTTTGTTATTAACAATATATTATCTATATATAGCCCATATATTAACAAAACATAATAAACTGGGATTCCAGGTGTTTGTCTTAATTATATGTTACGTCGTTGTACTCGGTCAAGTGGATTTGCATGAAGAGTATATAGCGAAAATTCATCGGGCGCTCAGACGTCCATTCGACTATCACTTACGGTACGACGAGGCTAACTACACCTATCATTTGAACTGTAGAATTTCCTACTTGACTAAACCCAGATCTTATACAAACAATTTTTCATCATAGGAAACAAGTCAAGAAAGGGTTACGAATGAAAAGGACGAAAAGGTGTTCGTTAGCGCGCCATCATGTCGACTCCTGTGCAAATAAAACACCGTGACCGAGTCCCGTCAAGGACCAAAGGTCTGTAAGCTCGATAGGGAGCAGCAATAATTTTATGGAATCATTTTTTATGTTAATTCTTCAAAGGGGATGAGTAATAATCAATGGTAGCTTTTATATAGCAGTTGCAGGCGGCGGGCACTTTCACGATGATCTCGTACGGTTCCAATGTATTCTGATTGATAGCAGTCATTTGACGATGCCAGAAACGGGTTTCGCATCGGCTGGGTTTTGAAGACGGTAAGATGTGCTCAATATTTCGGCATGGCTGTTGCTCGTCGCTGTAACGTTAGAATAATACTTTTCTGAACATACCCGAATGCAGTACATCGTAAGTATTCCGGACATTTCCGTTTCAAGTTAGCCCATTTGATCATCGATCAGTTTTTTAGTTTGCAAGGCAGGAAGGTTGTGTCCATCAAACATTGAAACCCAGATGAATGCTGTAACTATTTCACAAGGCGATACCAAGTGTCCTAGCAGTAATGATAAGAATGATTATCCCGTACTAGGATGCTGCAAGTCTTTGAATAGATATCTACTTAACATTTATCTATGGCTGGCGCATGATATATGTTCACAAATGTACAACTTTCTGGGACTATTGTTTACTTCAGTTGATATTTACCATAAGCAGAAACTGATAGCGTAGTATATAAGCAGTAGCAAGTAACGAAATCGAGAACGTACTACGACAGGATACGGTTTAATTACGCGTAAAGATTCTATTTTACATACTTCGATAATTTTGTGATTGATAGCTACACGCCTACCTGCATCGCAAAAGAGTGATGGACTGACGATATCCTCCAAGTTCCGGATTTAACAGAAAATGCCGCTGCCCGTCGATATCGCGAACCTCCTTTGGTCTATCGATCGTCCAGCTCTTCGTCTCGCACGCCTGCAACACTCTGCATGCTCGCTATTCTCAGACTCCTGTAGCCTAACCTGCTAACCTAACCTAACCTAACCTAACCTAAACTTAGTTATTGCAAAATACTGCCAGCGAATATGCTACACGCGCTACTTGAAACGCCTGTGAGCGATCCAGCTGAATAATAGGCTACCGCCTTTCTCGTGTCAACTTATTTTTTTAAGCCAAAATAAGTCGTGATATAGAACGGGTGCATTGGGTGCTGAAGTAACGAAGCTGGTGGTAGTAACTGACCTGCACGAATTCGTCGTCGCCATCGAAGAATATAGGGCTACGATACAAATCCGGAGGGTTGATCGGGTCTTTATTGAAGAATGGACGAAGTCGGTTGAAGTTCTGTTCCAGTACCTTCAGTTGAATATCACTACCGGGTGTAGATAGCAAAAATATCACTCTAACGTAATTGAGTAAAACAAAACATTGATCCTCCGGCTGCAAAAGCCAAGACTCGAAACGTTTATAGCTTCCAGATGTGCTAAACATATGATAACTGACTAGTATGGACGCTTTTCGTACAGATACTTATATCCAAAAACAGTGTCTGTTTATAAGTGAATTTGTTAGCCATCGATGGCTGAGCATCCTTGAAATCTCGGCAACTGCTTGAGTTTCTAGGGGCATTTATGATGTCTTCCGCATGCAGTCAAATATTCTCATCCCTATCTTACCAGAAGCTTTACTCCCATCGTCAGTGCACTTATTTGGCGAGAAGACGGCAAGAGTAAGTCCAGTATATTATTGGGCGATTTACTTTCGCAGCTGCACTGCTCTCAACTTATCTATTAGTGTCAATCGTACGTGTTTGTTGATGAACTGACTGTTAGTTTTTTTTAAGTCCAAAAAGTATACGCATTAACTTACTCGGGGACGGGATGTTCTTCGGTTTCGCAGAAAGGCTCAGTTTCACAGGGTTCACCACTCACAGTAGATGTCACTATAAGCTTTGGTGCTATTGGAAAAAAACAAAATAATACATTTGGAAATTGGGCTTTATTGAATGAATTTTAGATAGGCGTAAATATCCACTATTAGAATAGTTGTTTGAGCTCAGAGCTTCGCATAAACAACCATCTGAGCTGCGACTGCAACTATCGAATTAGAGATAAAATAAAATTACACCCTTGATACGTACGCTCGAAGAAAAAAGGTCCTTGATTGTCAAAGTAATAGCTTGCGCCGCGCAAGCTTTGAACCAATTTATTTTACTCTGTCCTTTTTCAGCTTAGATCAATACCAGAGGAAATGATCAAAGTTCGTGTTATGCCTCAACCGGGGCACCCTTGAAGCGGTCTGTAGCTATTATACTTTATTAAGAAGTAGACGCCATTGGAACGTACTGTCATATTCCATTCAAATTCTATTCGGATGATATATGGTAATGAGGGGAGCAATTGACCCCCAATTGATTCAAGGGGACGTTCAACGGGAAATAGCTTGTTGTAAGCTTATAATGAACAAATATCTTTACGTGATGTGACACACGTAAGCGGATTAGTCTAACAGAAAATGGTTTTAACCTTGTTAATGTTTTGATGGCAAGTAGAAAAATGTAAGAGTGGCCGACAGCTATAGTAAACTGGAAATCAATAAACACAGAAAATATGATATATCACAGAGGTGAACAGTGCGCCTCGTGTAGGCATACGCTTGCTGTCGAGAAGGATGCCCCTACAATTTGAGCTGGGGCAAGATGGGTGCAATACATATAGCTACCCATCGTCGGGCTAAACAATCGTTGTTTCACCTTTCATCCTTATCCTTTGACTTCCCTGCGCTGATACTGTAGATGCATTCGTAAGAAAAAATGACCGGTCGCGTAAGGAGCTACTTGACTCGTTCGTTATGGCGCGGTACGATGTCACTTCTTCGAAATAGGACAGGCTGTAATAATAATAATGGCTAGTGTTTTCGGCAGGTCAGGCAATCACCGAAAGAGCATATGATGTTATTGCTCGGACAGATACAACGATTCGATATACGATTTCTTTATAAAACGCTTATAGGCTTCATTGCGGCCTTGAAACAATTTATGCAGTGCTTACTTTCATCCAACATAACAACGATAATTGGTGAAGCAGAAGACATGACGCCTTTAAACTAACTACTTAGTTAGACTTGAATTGCTACGATCGCTCCTGCCTCTTGCTCGCTTAGCAATGGCTCAGTGCGAAAATACATTAATTTTATATAGCAAAACCCTAGGATTTTTTACATGCGACGTTAACCCTAATCTCCGAAGATCAATGTCGTTCAATAATATTACTGCGTCTCTCGCTCTACTGACAAAATCACTATGGCACATTGTCATGATGAATCAATCTAGCAACAACCTGATAATCGAATCCGCTCAAGACCCTTCAACGAACAAAGTTAGCTAAGCTATCCACCAGACACTTTCCTTTAGCATACGCATTAAATTAGCAGACGACTGGAAAAAAAGTAAATAAAATCTCTTTAAAAAATACCGGTTTTGTTGTTCGCCGCCAGGCCGCTAACTAGCAGATTATCGTTAACGTTGTGTGGAAATGTCCCGTTGGTCGAAATCGATAAGGGCGCGGTTGCCGAACTACTTTTGTTGTCGCTGCCGCTGTCGAGCCGTGGGTGCAGTGGAGATCCTCGCGATGCTACAGTCAAAAGAGCTGTGACCAGCTGGAAAATTTTCACCAAAATTTTCAGCTCCAGCATTTTACTAACCGACACTGCCTAATATATATTTGTATGAAATAGGCGAAAAAATAAATAAGCAGAAGACTTTTTTGGCACACAACGTTATATACAACGATACGGTCGCTGTTCACTAATCACAACTACACTGGGTTCGGAGTCGCTGAAGGCCCAAGCAAACGGCTTTCCAGAGAGCATATCTTTGATCTAACGGCTATTTAGCCTACAGGTCCGCGGTGTCCAGCTGGACGCTAACAATTTTTCTCTCTCACCAACTTTTTTGTGTCAGAAATAGAGCTATCACATATCTATGGATGTTCTCACACTTCAATCTCAGTGACTGCTAATTGATATAGTCTAGTGGGGCAACTTTCGCATTTGCCTTCCACTTCTGATTTCGCTGGTTTGTACGCGAATGCTTTAAATTGATGGGAACTGCTTTGCACGCTAAACCAGCGCTTTTCGTCGATTGCCGTCGTCTCGAACAGCGACCGGAACTTGTTCGGATGACAGTGCCGTCGCTGACGTCGTTGCCGATGCCGTTGATGACTGGCGTTGTGACGCAGGGCTGTATGGTGGGAAGATGACTTCATTTTGTCGGTAGATCTGCCTGCCTATCTGTTATGGGACGTCGCGTGTGCAGCACCAACAGGCTGACGCGGCGTTCAGAGCGTTGTTTCAAATCTTTTGGATGCTACTCGGCGTTGCATCGAGCCGCCCCCTTTCCTGCAGAACGTCTGCCGCGTCGCAGCACTTAGTCGATGTTTATTTTCACTAGTTGTCGTCGTCCACGTCGACGATGGCTAACGCAGAAGCAACGTCAGGAAGAGCGGCTGCATCAAGCAGGAGAAGGACGGGTCCGTAGGAAACAGTCGGCTCTTATAGTGCAATTAATATTTGTCATTTTCTGTCGTCGCGGGGTTTTTCCATTATTATTATCAGTTCAACCGGAACCAATGGTGTCTGAACATTGGGTGGCGGTTGCTTCTTGCGAGGGGTATGATTATGTGCCTGAGGGTGCAGCGGCAGGTTTTAGCTGACATAGTTCTATATGGGTGTTCTGTTCACGTTTGGCAGAATGGAGAGTCAAGACGAGACGAGGTGACGATGGTGATGACGATGAGGAGCGTCACCGCCTGCAGAAATGCTGCAGCTTCTTCTGATGTCTCTGGTGTAAGGCGCGCCTTGTATGGGGTAGCGTTTTTGGTAGGATTTAATGGGAATGTAAAAAGGGAAAAGTCCTATGTCTGATACTTTTCAACGATAGGTTAAGATGTAGCTATAAAACTGTTTACAAGAGGAACTTTGGTATTATGTGATGCTAAATGCACACACGGCAGTGGACGTTGCTATTACTATGGCTAATGCGTGAAAATAAAACCCATCGACTCAATGACTTCTTCATAATTTGGAACAAACGTTCGACTATTCGCTATATTGTTGTGATTGATCATAGCCCAGTGTCTTGGAAAAATCTTTACCTGGCATCAAGCTATACATTCGAAAAGCTCATAGTAACAACGCTGAAAAGTGTATCACACAGTAAAGATGCCAGCGATAGTATAATAACGCTAATTCCAACTCGTGGATAATGTTAGCTGACGTTACGAGGATGTAAACAGTTACCATATTCAGGTACGGACCAGTCGTCGAATACAAGAAAAACACATATCGGCTCTTCTTTGATCTGGCAGGTTTTAGGCTTTTGTTGCTACTGTTTGGCTCACTGTTAATACCATGAAAAATTCATATAAGAATTGCCAACGATTTCTCTAACTGGCAGCATCTTCTATAGTGTGATATTATTTCTTTCTACAAATTATGTAGAATATATGACGTATGTTTATAACTATCTTGCATCCTACTTACCAAAATGCTGCGCACAAAAGAACGCATCTTGTTTTGTACCGTTGACATGTTGGGCTCTTCCGAAGGTGAGAGCTTGTTAAGGTTAGCAGTGCTTCTATTCTCTGTCGAGTTCGCTCTTATTCAAGGATATAACGGATTTCGGACTTGCCTCCGGCTCTTCAGTGTGCGGTAATGGGTTTGGCCCAAGCTGACTGTGTCCGTCGGAAAGGAATATGTTCCTGTTTCGACGCTGCTAGTGTTACGGGCTAGTGATAGCCATGGTGGCTGACCGCGACACTCCGCGTTTCGAGAGAAGCTGCGTCGCCGATCAGCTAGATCTATCTGTCGAACCGGCACGATGTACACTTAATAGGACTCACTTAAAACTACAGCGTAGTAGGCACAGTAACATTGCTATATTACGATCCAGCGAACCAAAGCAGATTTGTTCAGACAGTTACGCGGGTACTTCTGAAGACAGTTTCGCGGGCCTGTGACCGGATGGATACCCTCGTATGAGGGTTTGTGCACCACTTATCATGGATGTGGCGGCGAGACCACAACGAGCGTTCTGCAGCGAAGTGTACGCACGCACGCACGCACGCCCACTTGCTGGACCTCGCGGCTGCTTTCGTGGCCGTAGCGTTGCCTGTATCGAGAAAACGTTTTATCAAAGGCTTAACCGGCTGCCAGATAAGACATACACGCTTCAATACACAGCAGTTAGAACACTGATAACACAATACTGAACGCATAGCCTAAATGGCTGCTGTAAGTGGAAATTATGGAAAAAAAATCAACGATAATATTCAGCTCGGATTCTGTACTAGCAAGACAAACTTGGGAAACGAAATAGGCCTTAGCTTTAAGCTGCGAAACAAAGCTTCGCTGAGTTGGGTATATAGTTGAAAATTTATTGTTGTTTCTAACGCACGATTTAGTATACTAGAATTGAACGACTGTAGCTTTACTCAAAGCGCGGTTATAACGTTTAGATTAGTCGTACGAGGAGATGATTATAGAGAGTCAAATCCATGTTCTATTACTAAGAGCTAGGTATAGCCAATCGCTAAAAGCTATTGACGATTATAGGGATTTCGTTTGGCGAATCACAATCAAAAGATACCAAGCAACTACAAAAACAGTAATAACACACTATCTGATCGGTTCGGACAAGGTCTCTAAAAGAAATCCCCCAGCATTAACGTCAGAATATATATGTGTGTGTGTGGTGTTTGAGTCGTACGTATAAATACGCATATTTGTGAATGAACACACACTCTTGTGAAAAAATATTTATGTGCTTTACGCTTTTCAAATATATGGTTTATTTATGTATACTACTTATATATATATATATATATATATATATATATATATATAATGCCTTATAGAGGGTGATTGTTTCTTAGAATATATTTCACAACTTAACTGTTAACTTATTTAGTTACGACATGCCTAGCTTATCGAAGATAATAAATAGGCTACACCCAGAAAATTGTTAAAGTTTGAGCCGAAAGGCAGAAATTGTATCATAGATTTGTTTTTGAAAGGGAATCTATGATTAATAGTAAGCATTTCTATAAGAGATATGTATATATGGTTTTGTTATAATTAAATAATAAGCCTTCTTTCCACCAAAAAAAACTCGCAAAAATTTGCCGCCATCCTGTAGAGAGGACGGTGAATGCGAGAGAACCTTTCAGTTAAGCTTTTGCGGAGCGGTTTTCGCAATGCCTGCCATGCACAGCCTCGCCTATCGACCCGGGGTTGGATGGCCTTGTTCAGTTGATGCAATTTAACCCTTTTGGTCTGCCCACTTTCGCCAAACGCAAGCAATTGTCGTTTTCAAATGGAGATCTGGCTTGATTCTGAGCTTAGGCGTGTCAACCTTTCATTGTCCTGGGGACACCACTTCTTGTCACCGGTCACAATTCCATGTGGAAACTTGTTATTGTGCCTACGCGTTAGCCACTATTCGACAAGATGCTGAAGCTCACTGAGAAGCCGTATTTTTGTGTGAGCTTCATCAGGTTTGTAGCGAGTGCAAGTTCCTTCCAATCCCTGATGAAAATCTACGCATGCAAGTTTTCTGCTAACAGGCTAGTTTTCTGCAGCTTATATATATGCTTGGCCTATTATCGGCTTGTTTGTGGGTCGGCCCGGGGCGGAATACATTTTTCAGCTCCACGATCTCTCTGACTGAAACGTCCATCTGTGGAGCCTTAATTCGACTTATAATTCCGTTCAATACGCAATGCAATTACTACGGATCTATAAACTAGACACGAATACTTTCTAATTATAATATGGCAGTGAACGGCCAATGAAAAAATAAGAAGGAAATGAGCAGAACAAACAGCCATTGGGGGGGTGTTCTGAGTCAATAATTGAGACTGCGCTTCAAGACTAGAAAGTGTGCTTGACGGGTTACATTCAAGCGTAATGAATATCCCTCGAGTTCGAGAAAAATCAATTTAGAAATTATTGGCGTGTTTTGAAAGGAATCGGTACATGTACGGTAGCGATACTTGTGGGCTAGCTACAGTATCACTCCTGGTCAATGTCTTTGTCTTAAGCGCTTTCCACGACAGAATATCTTTAATGGATAGAGATTCTGTCCATATACTGTGCTCTAAGTCCATATATTCTTTATGGATCGAACCGGATAGGTTGTCGTATACATTGGATAGTTTTCGGCGACTTTTTTTTAACTTACTTGTAATTAACGGATTTAATAAGAATTATCTTTAAAAAACTGTTTTGAGAACATTAATAGTTGTTTCGTAACAGTAATAACTAATAAACAGTAATAATGTTTAGCTCTATACACCCAACATTATAGATTTTCTTAGACCTAAAGCCAGTGATTCTTCTGTCATGCCTATTTAAATTTTAAGGATCAGGTTTTATTTGCAATTTCTTTACTGCGCGTTTTACGAAAAACTATGCCTCGGCAAAGGAAGCTGACCCAAGTGTTAGGAGAGTACTCCTGCGCGCGTCCCGCGTCGGCTTCACACGACTTAAAATTGTCGTCAACCCAGGCCAAAATCTTGTGCAGGTATCGCGTCCAAAATCTGAGCGAGAGCTTTGAATACCCCTTTACTGGAAAACAAATAATTCACTTGCCCCATTTTAACAGTGTATATCGGCATTGCAGTCATCCAGCAGAATATGTAAGTCTACCAAGGCCCCTGTTCAAGCAACTGTACTCTTCAATTAAAAGCCATTATAGCGTACGCCATTGAAAGCGAGCGAAGGACCGAAACAAACAACATACTCGGGTACATTGCAATAACACATAAACAAGGAAAATCTACGCCTCACTGTACATAGAACTATATCTAAGAATGACTAATGTCTTTTATTGGAAAGTTGATAGCAGGTCCTTGCTGCTACACCCAGTTTTTTAAGGCCCCACATGTGAGATTAAGGCTGAATATGGCAAAAGCAGTGTCAGTCTATGGGTCCGAGAAGACAAGATGAACACAACCGACAACGTAGAGTGTATCTCCTGTATAACAGATCATAATTTCTTTATTATGAAGCACACCAACCTGTACAATGTTGACACTCTTCAATGAGCTTCAGTACCAAGCTGAGCTAGCAGCCGTGGCTAAAATGGTCATCAGAGTACATTTTTTGTTACCTTAAATACTGTTTGGCGTAGTTGACGTGACGTGACGTGACGTTCGTACTGTAACAATTTGATAGGCAAATAAGATAAGAGGAGTTCATCTGGTGTTACTTCTTTCTTGGCCGACCTAAATCGTTCTTTGATTACCTATACAATTTAACAGATGCGTATGATTTGTTACAGAATTTAGATCGAAATATGTGAACTCTCATGTACATTTATATGATCCAGATTAAATAGACTTTTGCTTCCGAAACTGAGGTAAAGATTTAATATAGTGATTGTCTTAAGCTAAACAGCAAGCTGTTTATATATATATATGGTTTCAATCAGGCGATAGCGTAGGATTCGAGTTTATGGTATGGCGCCCTCTAGTGGCGACATTTTCATTATCTATGCCCGGTAAATTATCTACTTTTTTCGCCTTCATTTCCACGCACTCACAAAACGATCCCTGAGTAATTTCCCTAATGCAGCAAGCCTGTTTACGAGCACGTTATTATGCCGGTTCAAACGCCTTCTGGTAGTTCCAGTAACTATTTTTATTATGTGAAAAGAGGAAACTCGATGTTAGTAATGAACACCTGCAAGCCAACCTTGCCTTAGAAGATCCCTGCTATCACTAGACGTACTATTGTAAAATGTACCTTTATATCACAGCCGTGGTTATTACATAGTGAATCGCTATTTTCTTCGAAATTGAAATGTAATGATCACAGGAGATCAGACAGCTTAAGATGCTGCCCGACGTAAATCCTGTTTTTCCGACGGCTGTGATGTGTTCCTTTATGCATCGTTATAAGTTCTCTATAGCTAGGGAAACATCTAGATAAAATGTTCTAAGGTTCTGAAGTACTTTTGAGGGATAGCTTTGAACAACACCTACTTTGTAGCACATCTGTTATTTTCAGTTTCTTATTATTACATTCGTTCGTACGAACGTTAGGCTGATGTTTTTATGAGAGATAATGTGTGAAAACTGTTTTGATTTAATGAGCTGCTGAACTAAATTTTTGCAGTATGACCTGAAAATCTTCTTCTAACTTTAACGCTTTAAATTATTGCTGCTATAATTAGTTCGAATGTTCTTGTGCTATGGACTTCGGTGCGGTTGTTTAGCCAGGCAATATAAACACTTGTTTAAAAGGAACACCTCGTTGAAGCGCCGATGTAGGCCTATCGGTATAGGAAGTTGCATTATTATTTGTGAGGCACATGCCGCAGTTAGGACACCGTTGATATGGCCGGCAGGCGATTGTTAAATATTGCAGGCGACCTGCAATCTTTAACAATCGCCTGGCGTACAGATTTACAGCGTTGTCCGAAACGCGATTTAAGTAGTCGAGTCTGCATAGGCTGGTATTGATTGACATTGAGCTCAAAACATCTTTCTATCTCTGCCCAATAACCCTTTACCTCTCATTGTATGAGAGTTAAAGTCAGGAGGCAGATCAGGATAAGAAGACAGAAAAACTTTGACCGAATAGTTGTTACAGCATTTGACCGCATTAGCATTGACTGCGGGCCCATGTCGGTTACCTCATTCGACTCGAGATAACAGTCACTGATATCGGTGCTCCTTGCCATTAACAATGTTATGACTTATGTTTGCCGTAGCCTTGGATTCGTTTAATGACGTTAGTTAGAATCGATCTTTGTCCTTTTTAAAATTAAGTTATAATAATAGAAAATTAAAAATAATTTTTCGAAGCGTAAAACCATATATGTACGGTCAAATAGCCGCTGATGCCATTATAAACTGTCAATAGGGTCCAACAAGTTAGCTACAGACGCAGGTTACCGATCGGATAAACAAAATATAGGAATCGTGACGTGAAGAAGAAATGCATCCATACGTAAATATTATAATGTGGTAATAAAGTGTGGAATAACCAACAACGTGTAAAAAGCATCATTCGAACGGTAGTGAAATGGAAAATAGTAGCCATCAGTGATAACTTTAGAAGCATCAGTCATAATATTATTACTATTGCAATAATGTTATGAAAGGTGTACCCCAGAAACCGTAGATCAGACAAGCGACGGCAGTACCCTAAT